CGACGGGGACTAGTAGTGGAATAAATCAGGAACACGAGTCTCATTCTATCTGAAACTCCTCAAGCTAGATGTATCTGCATCCCCAATGGCTGTTAGTGTCCTCACTGAGACTCAAACTCAACAGCCATAGTGTCAAACTTTAAGCCTTATTCACTAAGCGATTGCTCGACTACCCTTCTAGTCATCACCAATCTGTTATAACCGGAACTACGACCTAGTAGACAATGAACGAATACTAACTTAATGCGCTGGCTAATCTGTCCTAATCGCACGTCAACAACAACAACAACAATAACACCACCGGCACCCAAAGACAAATGAAAGGACTGGACGTCTAGAAGAGGGCTTTTACCATCTCAAATAAAAGTCGGAACGCTAAACAGAAACTCTGTAAATACACGGTTAGAATGACCCTGAAAATTCAATGATTCAGTGATGCATTAAAAGTATTAACAGTCCAAAAGAGGAAAAAATAGAGGGCTCACGCCAGTGCGTGATAACTCCTTAAAATATTTATTTTAAGGTTTTACGCAAAGTTATGCAAACCTAGGTGTATATAACACAGTTATATGTCACCATGCTAACTTCAGGTCATTCCCAAGGCATCCGTACCAGTAGGCCATATGTCATCAGAGACATAGACAGAAAGTAACTTAAACAAATGAGACCATAAATCTGTATTTTTACTGCTAGATGACTGATTGAGTTTGTTTGCTTTCCATTAAGTTATAGATCACTAGCATAACAACCCAGCCAGCATATGAACTAAATATTGTAATCTAAATTGTTCAGAAATCTGTTCCTCGGACTAGTTATTAACCCATAAACTAACTATTTACTTTTCTCATTGTTATTAACACTAAAGCGATGGCCAGAATATCTGAGATTGTTTTTTTGGTTAGCAGATTGTTATTGATAAAATGGCTAATAATTAAAGGTGGAATATATATCTGGGTTGCGGCAGGATTTGCACCTCCGAATCACCAGTCTGTCTTATTCATACATATGGAAGCTTGGAATTGCCTCTGAAAAGATTAACTAGTTAGCTGTTGGGTCTCATAGCTCAGCTGGTAAAACACCACACTGCTAATGATTATTGTTTTTCCCTTGGGTTCCAAGAGGAACATAGGGCACACAACCCCATCTTCATTTCATCTTGTTGTCTGCTATCCTTTTGAGTTGACTCCATGAACACCAAAAAGCTTTAATTTCCTCCTCTTCATTACACGATCTCCTCCATTTCACCTTCGAACAACCAGATCCACTTAAGGTTCTGTCTGGCACGTGATGTCATTCAACGATCTCTTCGGTGTGAGTCGAATACATTTCCATTTCCTTTGGTATATTTTTTTGGGAAAAAAAGTTGCTGATTGGCTAGTTGCCAGATTTTCCTGTTTTTCGACCTTTTTGACTAGCTGTGTTATCTTCAGTATGGAGTGAAGTGAGCGGGTGTCGACGAAAGTCTCCAGCTTGTTAGAAATATTTTAGAAGACGCGTGCTCCACGTCTGTGAACCATGTGAACTTTATTGTTGAAAATCCGGATCCTGTTCCTTACGTTAAGTGCAGTGGATTTCTACACCGATTTAAGGGTAATTAAGGTTTGTTTTGATTCTCCAATTCAGGCTGGTTTTGACATCCTGCAGTTAAAACTATGCGGCTCAAATAAGTGGAAGAGGTGACGTCGTTCAAATGTCTTCCATTTATCCTGACCGATATCTGCCACCTTGACGTGGTGGTCGGACTTTCATATCACAATGACCCAACAAGCTACACTGACTGGAACAATTGTTCCGGCAGGTCTTACCATGACAGGAAGGTTGTTAGGATAGCGATTAGACTAAAAGCAGTTACCGGCATTGTGTAGGATTATTTTTACTCTATGCTGGGGGTCTGTGGGTGAAGTCGTACTACTGGAGGAACAGGGATGTAACAGCATTAAGGTGTTTCCCTCAGATGACCAACTTGCCATCTAGCTATGCTGTTTCTCCACTCTGGAGAGAGGGAGTTAGAAAAGGTCGACCTCAGCAATTGTGCACCTCGACTTACCCTACGGTAGTCCGTAACCGGCGGTAAGTTTACTAACAATGAACCAAACCAAGAAACCAGTTCATACAGGCCGTGTGTGACCAGTCTGAAGCAGTTGTTCCCTGGGCTCTGCGGTCACACAACACTAACCCTCTTTCTGTTTCAGGTACCCGAAGAATCAATCAACTTCCACGGTGTGGGCGTCCGGGAAGTATCAACCGCCCACACACTTCCAAGAGCACACGAAGCCTCCCCGAGCATCATTCTCCTTTACTTCCTTCTTCCATTTATATTGATTGATAGTTGTAGTTGTTCATGGTGATGGTCGGTTATCTTCATCATCATCCTTATCTTCTCTATTTTCACTTCAAGTCCTGTCTTCACTGCCAGCCTCTTCTACCAACTTGTCGGTTTTCACCTATAAGTCTTTTACTGTGTGTGACACTAGACATTATACAGTGTTTTGTCAGTCCACTGTATATTTAAATTCTCTCGCCTCACAGTCTTCCACACGATCAAGTCCACCACAGTCAGGATTATTCTCAGTGATAGTAAGCAGCCTTGTTTTACCAATGTCTTCACTTCTGAGGTTCTCTGAGTTTTCGGTTGTGAATCACCGTGCCTATGAATGTTATTCAAATGCTTATTATTTCGAAAGTAGCAGTTTTCTGGAAAAAAGCAAAACATATTCGTTGTAGATTAAAGGCATTTCTTGACAGTATTTTAGCTAAAAAAATAATATCATACATAGGGAAGTGTATTTATGGGAAGCATGATGTCGTATTGGTGTCAATTTCTGACTGCATATTGACTTGTTAACTAAATGTTTTTGTGCAGCTTCACTTCGACTGCTTGGTGGTGTCGACCACCAACTGACCACAGAGAAAAAGGGACATTCTGAATGTAAGTAGGTCAATCAGCAGTGTCTGTCGACTAGATCGAGAGGGATCTTAATAGCAGACAGATTAAGTTTACCAGTAGTATACTCAGATGTATTCAAAGCAGAGCATTCAACCAATTCAGATCACTAAAATTCTAGCCATTCACCCAATTAGCAACTAGTATGATTAAACCTTTAATGAACAATCACTTTCCATTGTATTTTGAATTGTCTGTGTGAACTAACGAAAGATCTGACATGAGAACAATTAGAAATGAAAACTATTTAAAATAAGAACCAATTATTTACAGATTATTCAATTAGTTGAGTGATAATTAAAATTTCTTAGGATTACTAATATATCCTTCGGTACTAACTGTCAAAAAACGTATCTGAGCTGAATAAATGCTATACACATGGGAACTATAGTGTTACATCGATTTTGATAGCTACAGAGCTTTCTCACTTCATGAAGAATCTAAGACAGGAAGTGAGACATATAAAAGAAGCCTTGAAACTTAATAATTACCCGGATAAATTAGTCAGGAAATATGTAAGGAAACGTAAAAATAAAATAAATAATGATAGTAGTGATAGTGATAATAATAACAATAATAATAATAGTAATATTAATGACGACATGCATGTCAAACATGCACAAGATAATAACAACACCAAAAATAAGGAATCCAAATCATCAGTAGTACTTCCATACGAGGAAGGAACCTCGGAAACCTTACGCAGAATTCTTAACAAGGCAGGTAGGAATAAAAGTGGGTGGCATTCAAACCACCCACAAACTCAATTAGAAACAAGCTTTGTCGGTTAAAGGATCCTGTGGAGTCTTTGAAACAAAACAATTTAGTTCATCTAATACTCTGCTGCTGGAATGATTGTCACGTCAAATACATAGGTCAAAGTAGTAGAACAGGGGCAGTCAGATTAGCCGAACATAAAAACCTAGCAAAATCTAGATTGGTTGACCCGAATAAGATAAAAAATCTAGAGAATTGTTCAGCTATAGCACTCACTACATGCAATTACACACAACCATACAATAGGATGGGATAAGATGACAGTTTTAAAATCTAATGCAACTAACAGGGTGGAGGGAGAGATTGATAACAGAAGCTTTATTTATCGAATCAACTGAAGAGAATACTTGTAATAGGAATGATTCAACACCTGTCCACCCAGATATCTGGAAAATTCTACTACCCCAACGACGACAAATAGGAGAGAACAAAGAAAACTATAAAACTCAAGTTTCGAAGTCGTGTGATTATAATTGATGAAATGATTATGAACAATAAATAAATTGTGTTCGAAACATGGTCATCCAGTAAATAATACTGTTTCACTGTGTGATACATCTAATAAACAAACTAATATGGAATCCATGAAGAATTCCCCATTAGGACGTGTAGAAAATGAAAATAAGTGATTCACTGGAGAAACTCTTTTCAAAAAATTTATTATCAGGCTGTACACTCATATATATAACTGCGGAAGTGGTTACATTGGAAAAACAGAAAGAATGGGGCATACTTCCGATTTCCTGAACATGTACCAAAAAGCCTGCGTCTCAAGGTAACAAAGGCTTTCAACAGTGCCACTGTCAGGCATCTCCTTGACACGGGTCATAAGGTGGACAGTGCAAGATCGTTCAAAATTACCAGTAGGCAAAAAAGTTCAATTCTCCTTAAGTTTACCAAAGCAATCTCCATTAGGCTCCTGAAACCTGATTTATGCGTTCAAAAAGAAGTGGTTATCAATCTTTCCTTGCTCTGCCTGGTAACTGGATGTTTTCATCCTCTCTTTCGTCTGATTACGTAATGCCGAATATTCCATTCTGTATGATTATTATCGTTTGGGACAAAGTCATTAATATTATTAGCATTGTATGCATATATTGATTTTTTGTTTAAAAATGAACTCTTTGTGTAAGTATGTTAAAAGATAAGGTGACCAGTAACGAACAGACCTTCAATGTCTCGATGTTGAATCACCTATTTTGATTTTTCTTTCACTACTACTGAAACATTAATTAAGTAGTTAAATAATATGCTTGAAAATGTTTCATTTTTATTTTAGCAATTTGAAAATAGTGTCCTATTGAAGCCAGCATTCTTTCGTCATGGTCTTGGATTATTATCACATCAAGATTGTGTTATCCTGGCGCCGAATAAACTTGTCATCAAATTGTCAATGCCAAGAGCTTTAACTGATCATTTGAAATTTACATTCAATTTAAAATATGAAGAGAAAGATGATAATTTAGATGTAAGTAGTAATATTGAATTAAATATTATTCCTGTATGTATTGATTTTGTGAGCAGACATTCAATGCTTTGCAAAAGATGATGGTGGACACCTATTCGGATTAAGTACATTGAAATTTTCCGCAAACACAAATGTTAAGTCAGTCAGTTTTTCTATATGGGTCAGAAACTTGGAAGGTGCATTACGACAAGCATTTCCAACAGTCTGCAAACTTTTATCAACAACTGCCTTCGCTGGCTCCCTATTGAAGACCAAATGTTCAGAAAGAATAAGCACCAAGAAATTGTAGGGGCGAACCAATCAAGAACCTATTCCTCAACAGATATGTAGAACAAAATGGAGATGAAATAGGCACACTCTGAGGGGATACCTCGAATGACACCTCACGCCAGGCCATCGAGTGGAACCCGAATAGGAAGCGACGAATGGGTCATCAGTGCGAAGGTGACATGGAGGAGATCGTACGAGGAGGAGATGAGAGACTATGGGCAGTCATGGTCCCAGCTAAAGAGGACCTCAGAGAATAGGACAAAATGAAGATGGGCTGTTGAAGCCCGATGTTCCATTCGGAACCCAAGGGAACAGAATAATAATAATAAATTTTCCATGTCAGTTAAAATCCACTTGGGAACAAGTTCTTTTACCGTCAAGTTTACTGGTTCGCTAGTTAACTAGCTGGTTCTAAGGCCGGGAGAAGAGGAAAAGTTGGGCATGAGGATATTTAATAATTATTATTATTCGTTATAACTCACCCTTCATTCTAACATTCTTTCAATGCTATCGAACTTTTCATTTATATTATTATGATTTATTATTAGTGATATTATCTCTTTTCTCAATATATGCCTCCACCTGTTTCATTTCACATATTGGTTATTTCATGATGAACTTCTCACTACAGTCTTACTATCTCCTTTTGAATGTATACTACTTTGTACTAGCCGTTTACCTGACGCCTTTATAATCTTGAACTGAATTGTCAGTTTTTCTTCCCAACATTGTATGAATCTATCATGACTGACCACCATCATCGTCTCTTAATTGACAATATTTTGTAAATGAATTCAGCCCAGAACGTTTGTCAAACATCGTTTTCTCATCCTATAACCGATCTGTTACTCTGTGAAAAAAATGTATCCACGTCATAGCTAGCTATTATTACAACGAAAACGAGTATCATGGAGAAGATTTGTCGCTCAGGTGGATGATAATAAATTAGTTGTGTTCTCTGAGCTGGTCGACTTAATTGTGAACCTTTTTTCGTCCTTCTAGACGACATCTTCAGCGCAGGTTTTAGTATTAAAATGAACTCACTTGAATTCTCCATGAATAAGGTAATTGTATATCCTTACAACCACTGTAGTGACTGCTTATCAATTTACATCTCCATTGGTCATTTCAATCAACGACGAAAGGGTAACAGCTTGACAACTAGACAAAGACTGAACGCTGCTGTTAAAAATACTTTTTAAGCAGCTAATATCATAATAATTGAAAATGTGAAGCCAATATATCCATCTAAGCCCTCTGAACATGCGAAAAATGATGTCACATCCCACTGTATTTACGAATTTGAATGTACGCGTGGATACATATACATAACAGGGAGGACTTATCGATCTCTGCAAGTAAGTGCTGGCTTCACACCGTATTTATTAATGGCTCCAGAAGCAAATGGAATCCCCAGAACCTATTAATGGTGAGAACAGGAGACCTAGCTCCTCTATTGCGAAACATATTATGGAGACAGGACATAAAATTGACGTTTATATATCTTTTAAACCTATCTATAAAACGTGTTTGGGACGTATCATAAAGTTTGTGGAAGCCTTAGATAGCAATTAGAAAGTTTAAACCACCTTTATGTGTTCAAAAACAATTCGTCATAACACTCAACCACGTTCCTTGGTAAACTTTGTTTTGATACCAGCCAGGGTAGATGTACTATTACTTCTTACTTAGTTTAGTGATCTTCACTGTTATTTTGACCTTCACTATGGCCTTTTAACTTGATCTAAGTCTATCCTCTCACCTCTTAACTGTTTATTAATTTCATATATATTCCTATGACAAGTACATGGAGTGTGATCAGATTGTTCGAAATGTGTTGCGCAAATACATGACATGATTCAAACAAGTATTATATTTTATAATGGTAAGAACCTGAAGAAGATTTATTGAAAAGAATATTCTTCTTTCAGATTGACTTTTAACTTTTTAAATATATGATCTTATTGTGTAAAACGGCAGTACTTATTTCCGTGGGAATTGCTATCATGTAGATGGACAGACACTAATTCCTTGTATATTCAGTGTTTAAATTATACTACTTACTAATAAATAGTAGTACAAATAAGACACACAAAATCAGAAAGAATGGAAGCATATTCCATGCCTGTTTATAACAATAAATTCGGAAATGACATCAATGAATGGCGAATATTATGGTTTTGATTAGTCACCTCATCATCAACCTGAAAGTTCTTGATTGTAATTACTGTTTTTATTTCCGTTGTTATTCATATTTCCTGTTTCCATCCGTAAGTGGGCGAAGGGATTTTGAATTCTATCAAAATATAGTTATTAAAAAAAGTTAGACCATTAAAACAAATATTTCTCTGAAATTGAACATTTAACCCTTTTTACATTGTGTCTTTCTTTCTCCCTTTAAATCCCTTACCAATATAGTTACCAAATTTATCACAGTTTGGTTTACATGAATTATCAAGACGTGATGCAACTGTAACATTTCATTTTCGTTTTCCAAAACCTGGTGCTTATAAACTTACTTTATATGCACAACGTATTGGTGAGAAGGTAAGTTTACTATTGTATTTTATTGAGATATCCAGACTGCCTTTAGTTTACTTTTATCAAGAATAATTAAGCATACATATCGATTAATTCATAGATAGTATAGTAGAGAGTATCGATTGTGTCTCGAATTAGAAGACGTTCAATAAACCGAACTCTTGAGTTACCCAGTAAAATCTAAAAAGCTGGATTTGTTTAAACGCAGTATGTATAAAAATAATTAATAGAACATACAAGTGTGCACACTTTCTTTCGAGGTTCCTCTTCAGCTGCACACAGCCTAAAATACACAGGTTATTAACAAAATAAGAACATACATCTTTTTATATCATTAGTAGAAGCTTGTCAGGAAGATTCATATGAACTGATCAAGATTTGACCGGATAGTTGCAAAATAATTCAGCACTGAGTGAGAATAGACATTTATAAAATATATTTGTAAAATCTCAGCGAAATTGAAATGATTAATTCACGTTCGTTCGGCAATCTGGTCCGAACTTCTTACATGTTGATGCCTGTTGCATGGCTCATGATTGGACAAGGTTTAAAAACAAGTGATGTTCCTTTTATATATAAACCTCTGTTATGTTAATTTCGATTAATTTCCCTGAAGAAGTTCGGACCAGATTGCCGAACGAAACGTTGGAATTAATCATTTCAATTTCGCTGAGATTTTACAAATATAGTTATATTTGTCAGGAAGACCCTAGTTTAAGGAGAAAATAGTAGGTGAACTATGTGATGGCACAATCAGTTACAAATAACACAATGAGCAAGGGGTTACTGGTTATGAGTTTGAAAGAATATTCGAGAAGTTTCTTTCAGTTGACTTAACAACATAAAACATTAGTAGACCAGAACTACCAAGGGAAAAAGATTGCGTAATCCTATGCCAGTTAGCACTTAGAAGTTAAGCTCAGTGGGTCAGAATAAACCCTATTAACAATAATAGTGGGAATAGTAAAAATTTAAAAAAAACAGATTACATAATTGCGTAATAGGTGGAAAACTTTTTACCATGGTAAACTAAGGATAATCACTGTTTCTTTCTGTATACATAACTTTGGTTTGAGTTGCTTGATGGGAATAGATTAAGTAGATCAGAGTAAGGGTGGGTTTCTTCTTTGAATATCTACTTTATGTCCTGATTCGATTAGATGTTGGCCAATGGAGATTATTAAAAACAGTACTAATGATACAGCAAGGAATTTTCAGCATTCAGTACAATATTGCATCTAATTTACTCAAAAACGACAAAAAATACAAAATACAAAATAAACATTACATAATAATAATAACAAAACATTGTTATAGCAGCTATTTCACAAATTTCTGTATGCAATAAGATGCAAAGGGAATTAGGATTTTTGAGTCTTAGGGTTTTTGGTATATGTTCAGAGAAGTGAATGAATGTCCACATTTCTGTCCTTCGACTGACTGTTACTGTGCGATTATAAAATAAAACGACAGAGCTGTTTCAAACGCGATCCAAGGGCGTGCGAACGTATTGATCAAGAGTAAAGAGATTCGAATAAACAATGTTCAACAGACAGTGGAACATAAAAAAAACATGTACAACACATAACATTTAACCATAAGAAGATAATCAAGGTAGACGAAAATGGAATGCTGAGATAAATTCCATTGGAAATCAATCGCTATGGTAACAGAACAACGACATGGTGAACAAATATAAACTCATACTACTAGCTAAAAATAAGTAGTATAAATTTAAATACAAATGAAAAGGAAATAGAGAACAGATAAGAAAAGATTATTTAATTCAATTTTAGATTTTCCCGTCGATTGAGTGGACCGAAGTGCTCGGTCTCAGGTTGACATGTCGGCTCCTTGTGTAGATGCTTCGACGATGTCTGGGCAAGTAATTAGAAGTTAATTAGTGGATAACGCTTTGGCGTTTGAAACTATGGGCACTGGCTTCGAGCCTCGGTGGGAAAACCATCACTCACTGGGAATGTAGGTACATCCAAATGACGAGTGCGAAATAGGAAGAAATGCACGTTATCCTGGATTCCACTGCTAGTCACCATCCACCAATTAACTTCTAGATAAGAAAAGAATTTGCAGATGTAGTATCACACAGTCACCCAAGGTTACTTCACATGTTTAAATAGGCCAATATATCTCTGAATACTAAGCTGTCGCAGAGAAATCCACGCTATTTGACTACTTTACACAGATTTCCGTGTTACTTGATGATTGTCTTTTTTTGTTTTATTTTCCTCTCTGCTTAGTTATTTGCTGATATATGTGAATATCGTGTAGAATCAAGAGCAACTAGTGATATCAGGATTACAGAGACTGTATCAGGGAATAACTCACCATCTGGCATAACAATTCCACCGTTTCCGCCAACATCACAAGCTCATTATGGACCGGCTGAAAAAGCTCAAGAATTAGGCATTACAACTGTACCGTCTGATTTAGAAGCACAATTACACTGTCGTACTGGTGTACTGGAGTTAAGATTTACAACAAAGAATCCGGTAAATATTCTTTCCTTCTCTCTTCGTCTTATTTTTATAGATTTCTCATGTAATTTTTGTTTCCTTAATTCCCCGCTTTATTATTGTTTAAACTGAATAGTTTAGTTATTATTATCTCCAATGAAATGAATTGCATGGTTGTATATACTACTGACTGATTGATATGAGTAGTTGGGAACCAGTCACACTAGGCAGTATCCTCTGCTTCCTCTCACCCCACACTAGTCATACTGAAGTGAAGTGATCTATCCGGATACTGGACGTCTGTTGTACTCATTTTGGGGTGGTGAGTAAATAGCGAATTTCAGCTGATGACATATATTTTGTCTGATAAATATGGCTCTAGCAAAGTAATAATTATCACTCCCATTACCTCTGTAACGACAGAAGATAAGGACCAGGCAACAGATCGTTTATTTAGAAAATTAACAGATATTTATAAATTTTTATGTACATTATTATTCGTTATTATTAACAGAGAAACAGCGTCTTCTGATTGGTTGTTATCTTGCTGAAAGTTAATCTGTAATCTCTTTGTGGCCGTTTCTTTGAAGGTCAGACCATATTTCTGTGATTCGTATCCGCCCACGCTAAGTCTGCTGTGATTGGTTGTTGAGTTAGTCTTTGTTCTTGTTTTTTTCTCATGACCAAGATTTGGGACGTAAACACTGATGTAAATTGCTGTCTACCAATTTTGGCTAGCAGACAGCTCTTACCCCGCTACTGATATTTTTTAACGATAGTTCTCCTGCTTCTCATTTTATCTTATAGACTACGAAAATGTCATCTGCAGCTGTATCTCTTGTGTTTACTGTTTCAGTGTCAACTTTTAGGCCTACGAGAAGTAAAGCAATACGGCAAAGTTAAACTTTAAGCACCACTGACTACCAAACAGCGAACGACCTTCAACGGACCAATCACATGAAAGAGGGATTTTCCATAAAGGAAAATGTATATTTATGGAAACAAAGCATAAAAACTGTATAAAACCTTTACATAGGGTATCTTTCTCTAACATGTGACAGAAACATCTCCCAGTTTAGCATAGGAGTGTCAGTGGAAAAGTCACACCACATTCTGTACATATATTCATCCAAATGACTATAAATGACATCTTTTTGAGATCCATTTATATCCCTAATCCCGTTTTTAAATTTTCCCAAAAATCCTTCAATAGAATTTGTATATGTCCTAGTAATAGGATCGACAAAATCACTGGAATGGTTCACTTTGTGATGAATATATCCAAGAGATGACAGCGAGTTATAACCTCTCCATTCATCATTATGTACTATGGATCCCTGTTTCACAAGTCTAGTAATAATAGGTATTAAAGTAGTTGACTTTCTGTCTGGTATTCTCTCCACGAATCCTTTCCGTAGGGAGGTGTCATATAAACCAATCACCCAAACATTGTTGGCTCGCTTACGACCACGGTTGTATTTTTTTCTCCAATAACACAGTTTCATCAACGTGCACGACGATGCCTTCTCCGCCCCCAACAACGAAGAAAATTCTCTCCATTTTACATGATGCAATGTCTCTGCAGTGCTGGTACGACTGAACTGTTGACACAAGACTATTTTCGGTTTCAGTAGCTGCGCCTCTCACAGGCTGTTATAAAACCCAGAAGTTACAAATATACAAAATCTGGGTTAAGGAGAGATGCGACCTAGCAAAAAATGTTCCTACGAAATATTAAAATTATCAGCTTACCTCATATCCATCAATCGATCTGCTAAAGTTTTTTAAACTCATGACACCACCACATGAACAAATCCTCTCCTTCCTAAGCAACCCCAAATCCAGGCAATACTGCAAAACCTTATCCTCCTCGAACTGCAAGCGTAAGTTCGTTAGAGCGCGCATTTGAAACGAATCAAGCGCTATGCAACCTTGAACTCACGTGCATGAACCTCATTGGACCATTCGAGGTCGTTCGCTGATTGGTAGTTAGTGGTGCTTAAAGTTTAACTTGGCCAGCCATACTAAAGTGGGAGGAGACTTTTTATAGGAATCCCATCAATTTTGTATAATAATGAGTTATCATAATGAAAATGAAGGTATTCAGTGCATAAAAGTGACAATTACTTGATCCTGTCTACACATAAAGTCACAAAGACTCATTAATGGATACGTTTTTAAACAGACAAGTAAACATTTGCGTTGTGGCTGATATGATGGTCAATAAAACCTGGTAGTTTACGAATCTCTCACACTAATGAACTTTCCTACCTAGTAGATTTACCAACCTACTATCCTAATCACTATTCGCAATGGTAGCCATCACTGCATAATACCACCGACACGCAAAGTAAGAAAGAAAGGAAGACAGACCGTTGACTAAAAAGCTTTTATGCTCTCGAAACAAAAGCAATAAGGCTTGACAACTATTCTGCATATTCAGGTCCTCAAATGGCCTTGGGAGATGACAATTTCATTGATAAGTTTAAAACAGTTAACAACCAATAAGGTTCAGCCATCACAAGGGAGAGGGGGAAATACAAACATCGCGGTACTCTGAATAAAGTCCCTAGGATAAGGCTTTGGAAAAATTAGGTGTGTATATAACACGGCACAGTTTTCATTGCAAATCAATTTTATCCCATAGATGTACGCAAAATCGACTGTCTGTGAGTTTTCGTGGTTTCAAAGTAAAAAGTCCCTACGAAGATTGAAAAATAAACTGAGAAAGAGACATTTTCCTCTTTAAATTAAGTTGATGTACTGGTGAAACTTGAGCACTGTGGTAGTAAGTAATTCCATATTAGTTTGTTTATTAGATGTATCACACAGTGAAACATTATTATTTACTGGATGACCATGTTTCGAACACAATTTATTGTTCATAATCATTTCATCAATTATAATCACACGACTTCGAAACTTGAGTTTATAGTTTTCTTTGTCTTCTCCTATTTGTCGTCGTTGGAGTAGTAGAATTTTCCAGATATCTGGGTGGACAGGTGTTGAATCATTCCTATTACATGTATCTTCAGTTGATTCGATAAACAAAGCTTCTGTTATCAATCTCTCCCTCCACCCTGTTAGTTGTATTAGATTTTAAAACTGTCATCTTATCCCATCCTATTGTATGGTTGTGTGTAATTGCATGTAGTGAGTGCTATAGCTGAACAATTCTCTAGATTTCTTATCTTATTCGGGTCAACCAATCTAGATTTTGCTAGGTTTTTATGCTCGGCTAGTCTGACTGCCTCTGTTCTACTACTTTGACCTATGTATTTGACCTGACAATCATTCCAGCAGGGTATTAGATAAACTAAATTGTTTTGTTTTAAAGGCTCCACAGGATTGATCCTTTAACCGACAAAGCTTGTTTCTAATTGAGTTTGTGGGTTTGAATGCCACTTTCATTCCTGCCTTGTTAAGAATTCTGCGTAAGGCTTCCGAGGTTCCTTCCTTGTATGGAAATACTACTGATGATTTAGATTCCTTATTGTTGGTGTTGTCATTATCCTGTGCATGTTTGACATGCATGTCGTCATTAATATTATTATTATTATTATTATCACTATCACTACTATCATTATTTATTTCATTTTCACATTTTCCTACATACTTCCTGATTAATTTATCCGGGTAATTATTAAGTTTCAAAGCTTCTCTTATATGCCTCACTTCCTGTCTTAGATTTTCCTTGCTTTTGTGCTCTATTACTTAAACATTTCACCAATCCTATTTTCACTGACATAGGATGGGATGATCGGAAGTTCAAATATCTGTTTGAATGTGTGGGTTTTCTGTAACCACTAGTGTGTTTAACTTCCCACTTTCTTTCCTTTTTATGCTACAATCTAACATTGGAAGCTCCCGGTCCTGACTTTCCAATTCATAAGTCAATTGAATCGCCTCCACCTTTGAGTTAATGTGTTCGAAAAATCTATCTATATCCTGTGTTCTAAGTACTGTCTCACTGTGTGATATATCTAATAAACAAACTAATATGTGATTAAATTAAATTTGTTTTAAACCACTATTTCCTTCATTTTCTTTTTCCTGTCATTATTTCAGCAAGATAAACTGCCACGTTTAACAGCACTTTTAAAATCATTAATTCATGAGACAAAAATGTTAACAGATTGTATATTGATTCGAACAATTGAAGGAGCTCCAGCCAATAGTATTAGCTCTGTATCAAGTCGTATGTCAAGTAGTATGACTACACAAGGACCATGTGCTCATATGATTATATTGACAGTATACTTTCCAACAGCTGGAGAATACGCCTTGGAAGTTTATGCTGCACCAGCTGATTCAGATGAGAAGGCATCATATTTCTTGGTAAGATGACATTCTAAGCCTATCTACTTTTTTTTGTATTTTTTATGTGTCAGAGATTTATTTTAAAATTCGCAACTGATTTGTGACAGCTTATAGACAGGATTGACTCATGCACACAAGTCATGCTGATGTACAGAACCGCTTGAGGTACCAGAATTCACAAACTTCTGCCTAACACTTTACATTACAGTTAAACGTTTGACATACAGCTGAACTGTGAGAAGTGTAAGAATAGACAGTGCAGTGACGTAATTAATTTGCATATCGACCAGTTCTATCAACTGGATCTTCAATATTCAACACCTCCATGGATTGGTAACAAAAGCATTAATAGAGGGAAACAGTTGACATCGATGTGCTTATTGAACACTATTAGCTGCTTGCTCACCACTATACATTGTGACAAAATTTCAGTCAAAACATGGTTTGCTGACGATTTCCAGTAACCACGAAACATAGGTTGAGGGCTTCTTGACGATTGTCTCCAGCCAGTGAACATCATTTCGAGGTACACTATGATCGTGAGTCTTCTAGCTTAAGTGGCGATTACATAGCAAAATTGAGTAGTAGTGTAACAACAGAAGACAAGGGCCAGGCAACAGATCTTTTATTAAGGAAAATCAACACATATTTATAGATTTTAATGTACATTATTGTAGATTATTGTTAGTAGAAATACAGTCTTTTGATTGGTTGTTTCTCACACAAAGTTAACCTTTCATCTCTTTGTGGCTGTGTCAGATCATCCATATGCTAACTGTATCCGCCTACGCAAAGACTTTGTTCTCATTTTCTCACCACCAATATTGGGGACATAAACATTGACGTCAATTACTGTCTACCAACTTTGGTTAGCAGCCAGCTCTCACCACAGTAGTATTCAGTAAGTACCAACGTAAAGGGACTCAAAAACATGATATTGATTACTCCCTAGTAATACATCAGTGTATCTCTTCTAATCCTACTGCAGATCAGCCATGAGCCCAGACACCTCAGTGCTAACGTCTCTGACTAAAGCTCTATTTGCTACAGCTTTGGGATTACTGAAGGGACACTAGTTCCTTCAAGGTTTCAAATATGCCCTGTTGACGAGTGGTCGAAAAAATGAGGCCGCAGGATACGCCTTACTACCGATTGCCTCCTATTATCTGATACCATATGACTATTTTGTTCGAATGGATTGTTGTTTCCATTTAAACGCCTCTTTATTTTCAAGGTTGCTGGGATTTGAAAACTGTTATTGTAATATCAAGGAAACTGAGAAGTGAACTGTAATGCTTATCGATCTACTCAATGAAGCTATGAAACTCAAACATACATGATTGACATATCGTACAACAGATCAGTTCTTCTACTTATTGATCTAATTTCTGCAGCACTTTTTTCTGTTAATTCAGCTATTAGAGCCCATAACTGTACACAGTGTATTGCTCTTGCCAGTATGCTTCTTCTTACTATGTAATTACAATAAACAATGTTCAAGAGACCTGACCAGTTGTTAATTGATTCTCATCTACCTTCAACAGCGAAACCTAGGTCCAAGGCTTCCTGCCGATTGCCTCCAACCATCTAATATCATCACAAACAATGTACACCGTGATGGCGAGCTACTTAGAATGGTGGCCACATTACAACCTGACTGATAGAATTCAGTCTACACCAAAGAGAGGACTAGACGCATCACACTAGTTACTAGTGTCAAATCAAAATATCCACTACAGTCCTACAGGAGGTCAATCGCGAGCCCGAATAGCTCAGTGGTAACGTCTCTGACTGCAGCACTGGGTGACGCGGGTTCGAATCTCAGGTTGCAGATACGCCTGTCTGACGAGTGCCAACTAGCACGAAACCTAGGTCCAAAGCTTCCTGTCGATTGCCTCCAACCATCTAATATCAACACTCATGGAAGTAGATGTTTAATGTCTGTTCTAAGCAGTATCACAGCTACTATTTTCAGGAGTAAGGGAATCGAAACACGCTTTCACACACACACAAACAAACAAACAAACAACCTCTAGTGTTACCAGTAGTGTAGATGACAATTGTACTAACCTTTTCAGGGAGTAAATAAAGTTATTTGATCCAATCAGAAGTTAGTACTGTTAGAAATTGCTTGCAGACTATATATTCCAGACTGATGGCAGTAATATTAGAAATGAAGCAGTGTATTCCTTCAGTGTTGTTTAACTCTATATGAGATATTCCTGCGTCATCAGACTGTAAATGACGTCATAATTGATGATGGAAAGTAGAATGAAAATCTAGGTTGCCATAAGATTCGAACTAGAAGCCTCTGAACTACTAGTCTAACGATCTACTGATCTTCAAGTGTTGGTATGGAAGGAGTTGAATGGTTTCAAGTTAGATCAGTGGTTTATATCAGCTGATTACAGGTTTGATCATGGGGTGACACCATTTAGAGGATCATCGGAAAACTAGGGAGTACTGAAAAGCTTTAATTAAATTTTAGATTTTTCCCGTCGATTGATTGGACCGAAGTGCTCGGTCTCAGGTTGACATGTCGGCTTCTTGAGCAGATGCTTCGACGATGTCTGGGCATTTAATTAGTATGTAAGTGGTGGATGGTGACTAGCAGTGGAATCCAGGATGCGCGTTTCGTCCTATTTGGGACTCGTCAGCTGGATGTACCTGCATTTCTCAGTGAGTGATGATGTTCCCACCGAGGCTCGAACCCAGTGCCCATAGTTTCAAACGCCAAAGCGTTATCAAGAAGCCGACATGTCAACCTGAGACCGAGCACTTCGGTCCAATCAATCGACGGGAAAAATCTAAAATTAAATTAAATCAGTATGAGCCGTTGAACAAGAGGTGGCTCTCGTAGCCCAAGTGGTCTAGTGGATAACGCTTCGGCGTTGGAAACTATGGGCACTGGGTTCGAGCTTCGGTGGGAACATCATCACTCACTGAGAAATGCAGGTACATCCAGATGACGAGTCCCAAATTGGACGAAACGCGCATCCTGGATTCCACTGCTGGTCACCATCCACCAATTAAGTACTGAAAAGCTGTTTCGTCTTAGTTTGATTGAGCCATATACATAGAGAATTGGCAGAAATTGGAATACTTGGGTTTCTGGCCAGATCACAGTGACTGAGTGGTCTACGAGCTTGCCTTGTGACCGGCAAGTCCTGGGATCGACCCCTGAAGGGTACGTACTGATGAGAAGTCCAAACTAGGGCGGAACAGCTGTTCAGTAGTCTCTGGTTTCCCAGTAGTTGCTGACCGAACCTGTAACCAATCAAATCCTTACAAAGCAACTCTTGAAAATCAGCTGATTACACTAGCTGGCAGTGGCACCATAAAAATCGCTAACTGAAGAATTTAGAGTGCATCAATCATTGGATCCCTTCTGAGTGGCTAAATGGTCAACAGGCTCTCATTGTTACCTGAAAATCTTTCGGCTGGTCCCTAGTGTGCTCAATGGTATGGACTGATGCTGAAATCGTCCAAACAAACCGCTTAATTTTTATCTACTCACCAGCAGTAGAAAGTAAAATGACAGAAGTTGGCTCCATTGTAGATTTATGAATTAACTCATAATAGACACGGAACAAAGAGTACTCTTTTCGATAAATTCATCATCAGGTTCTACAATTATATATACATTATAATGAATGAATGAATTAGTCTTATGAACGACATTAATGCTGTTTAAATAACATCAAATCAATAATATTGATAAATTACAGCTGAACAGCATCAACATAAAATAAACTGAATGTCAGAAGAATTACGAAAGATAATAGTACAAATTCATGAGTTTATAGTCTCTACTGAGGGCCAGGGCAGTAGTAGGGGCTGGACTTGTTTCTTTTGGACACAGAGCACTGGTTGTTTGAGGCGAATTGCAATAGCCTCTGCTGTTTGGAGCATGCGGTGCTTCGACGATTTTGGTAGTTTGTTAGGCACCCGGTATATTATAGAGAAGGATTCTTCTAGCTGGCTTTGTGACCGGTTTGCACCAGATGGTCTAATATCGAGCTGTTAATAGTTTTAACTACACCTTTACTTAGCCATACTGGGATATGTTCTCGAGCACGAAAAATCAAGTTCCTAGAGCAACGGCCAACATAACTCGCTCCACAAGAGCAGTTGAATTGATAAATACAATTTGAAGTGGCTAGTCTAGGTACTTCATCTTTCAGTCGAGGTAGCACCATCGGTCGTGTAGAGAATAAGATGTGTAGTTCGCCAGCATTAAAAGTTCTTTGAACTGATTTTCTTAATTTCTTCGTAATTAACTCACTTGGTATATCGCCCATGAATTGCAGTCGTATATAAAGTGGCTTCTTGTTTACAGATAGTGGGTAGTCCTTTTCGGCTTTCTTTGTCATATGTTTCTTGATAAATTGTCAGGATAACCATTTTCGATTAAAGTATCATATACCATCTTTAATTACTTCTTCAGAGCATATAGCTCTAACTCTGTGGCTAAGGGTCTTCACTAAATTCCTTTTGTATTGATGGAACGAAGCTATGAAATGTGTATATTGTCCGTCCAAGTACTTTTTCTATGTAAATTTCTTTTTATGCTACCGTCTGGTTTTCTTGTAAGTAGGACATCCAGGAAGGCAATTCTGTCTTGGGATTCCTCTTCGCATGTGAATTTCATAGCGAATGTACTTCATTGAATTCAGTAATTATTGTACTCCTATCAGAACCATTATCACAAAGAATAAAGGTATCATCCATATATCGGCAATAAAATGAGACTTACTGATAAGGTTGTTAGAGGTCCATTTTCTAGCTTACTTAGAAAGAAATCAGCCAGAATTGGACCCAATGGGGAGCCCATTGCCACCCCGTCCACTTGCCTGTAAAGCGTGCCGTCAAATTTGAAGTTTACATTCCTGGTACATCTTAATATCAATTCTTTTAGGATTTCAATATGGATTCCAATGTTTATCGACTGCTTGTCCACTTGTTCACATATATAATTAACTGTTTCTATTAGAGGTACATTTGTGAATAACGATGTTATGTCCAGAGATATCATGGTTTTGTCCTTGATATTGATATCTTTTATTTTGTCTACGAATTCAAATACATCTTTGACGCTATATTTCACTATCTTCTCATGCAATGGTTTGAGAATATTTACTAACCATCTAGCTAGAGCATGGTAGGGCGAATTTTGCATAATAGATTTTGATTCTACTTACTAAACCCCTTTCATATTTTATATTATGCCTTTCTTTTTCCCTTTAGGTTTGGCAATTTTTAATTGATTCTGAATTAGGCGTTCGACTATCCACACCAGTTAGACAACGTTTAGCCACAATGAATTTAGGTCCACAAGATGAAACATGGTCAACACTAGGCCTTAAACTACTTAGTCATCATGATCCATTAATTCATGTACCAACAGCAGGTGGTACTATTGGAATACAAAAAACACGAAGTAAATCAGAAATAATGAGTCAGTATATGGGTCATGGAGATAAATCAACTGGAGGCGTAAGTACAGGTGATTCACTCGGTGTTCCTACATCCTCAGCATCACCAGGAACATCAGAAAAACAAGATGAAGTAAATGATGAAGTTCAAGATCCGCGTAGTTATGATTTGAAGATAAGATTTTTAAAAGAATCTCAACAGAAAATCTATGTGGTTGGACAATTTGTGGATATAAGTACACCAGAGGAAGAGGTAGGTTTTAAACAAATTGATTGATAAAATTTTGTTACATATATTAAACATCATAATACAAGTCTTCACAATAGCTAACCATAATTTTGGACTCCTGTTCTCTATTACTGTTTTTCAGTTGTCTGCATTAGTCTGCTTTATTTGTAGAAGCTTGGCATTAGATAAATTTAATTTACCCTCCTTTTGAGTTGAATCTTGCCATCATTATTCCATTTTGCTGGTGATATCATGATAGCTACTCCCTCAGTGTGTTCGTGGTTGTTGTCTGGGGGACTGGAGTGAATTTATGAGTTTCCAGCTAACTCTATATCTGCACTCACAGATTCCTAGCACTTCCACACCATATCTTTTTGTCTGTTTTTGGCATTCAGGGCAGTCTTCTTAGTCTCTAACATCGTGTGGACATTCAATGTCCCCACGCTTATTTTTGCTTTCATTGAAAGAAGACACGTAGGCTGACTTGCTTCTCGAAAGGTTTCATCAGCCTACAATTAATAGTCGAAACTGCAGTTATCTGGAAATATTTATTAATATAAGGAAATTTTTAAAATAATTTAGGTAACTCTAAACTGTAGCAAACCAAGCGAACGACTGTGATAATGACATTGACAAATACTGCTGAGGCTGTGGGGATCCATATTAACAAGCTTAATTTATGCATCCAAAAGACGTTAGTTCAGATATTATCACTACCTTGGCCATCCAGGTTTGAATAATCAGGAATTTTTTTGGAATTTCCCTAATTTCAGTCGATTTTCTATTCGCTATTATATCTTTATTATTATTATTATAATTTAAGCATCTTTAATGAACTGTAATTGCATTGATCATACTTTTCAAATCGATATTATTTAAAAAAACACTAATACTGTAATTATCTTCTAATTTGAAATATTCTGTGTAGATAAACATCTGCATAACTCGTTTGGGAATCATCGGCAGTACGCGCCCACTGGGATTCGAACCCAGGACATTCCGGTTACAAGGCAAGCTCTTATACCATTTAGCCACTGGGACCCGATTCGAAGACCAGCCCATGAATTCTAACTTCTACCAATTCGTGATTTTAGCGCGACCCCAACTATTGTCGTTGGTGGAAATCCATCCACACGTGACTTCTAATTGGACCTCACTGGTCACGACTTCTCACTAGAACTGCAGGAAGCTCCAACCTGTAGCAAGTCACTGCCGATGATTCCCAAACTAGGATGAAACAGCAGCTGTCCAGTACTCCCTGGTTTTCAATGGTTCTCTAACTGATATCAGTCCGTGATCAACTCGTAAAACATAACTAATCCTTACAAACCAAACTATAGAAAATATACATAACTTTCAAATATGGGTTTTGTAGGAATTTTGTTTGATTGCATGGAGGATTTCATCATGAGCTGATATCAGTTAGAGAACCACTGGAGAACCTGGATCGGGTCCCAGTGGCTCAATGGTCTATGAGCTCACCTTGCAACCAGAAGGTCCTGGGTTCGAATCCCGGTGGGTGCGTACTGCTGAAGAGTACCGAACTAGGACGAAACAGCTGTCAAGTACTCCCATGTTCTCCAGTGGTTCTCTAACTGATGTCAGCTCATGATGAAATCCTCCATATATATAACTGTAGAGCCGGAAGAGGAATTTATCGAAAAAAATATTCTTTGGTCGATTATTTTGTGTTTTATAGGTGTCTGAATGAATATTTTTGCTAGATTGAAATCTTTGCCAAGTAATAAAAATGGGCCCATAGTAACAGAGTAATTTTTTTTAAAATTTCATATCAATCAAATGTAGTGTTACAAACTAGTCATTCAAGGTAACATTCTCGCTTGTGTCGCACGAATACCTCATAATTCGGTATTGGAGTCTTTAGTGATAGTGCAAACCGATTTTTAAAAATAAATCCATCCAAATAATTGTTTTTCATCATTTTTGTTAAGAACAACTATGAAGCCATCTGATTAGTTTATCAAGGTCATTATGACGTGCGTTTACTTGGGTCGCTATTATTATTATTATTGTATCCTTTAATTCTTAGAGGAACATAGGGCTTCAGCCGTGCGTCTCCATTGAGTTCGGTTCTCTGCTAGAGTCATCACCTGGCTCCAAGTCTGCCAACACGTTTTCATCTCCTCTTCACGTGACCTCCTCCAAGTCACCCTTGCACTGACGACCAACTCGCCGCTTCCCTTTCGGGTTCTACTCGAGCAATGGCTTGTCTAGTGATGTCACTTGATGGTTCGTTTCCTCAGAGTATGGCCAATCCATCTCCATTTCTTTCTGCCTATTTGTTTCACAATCGGTTCCTTCTGGGTTGGTTCGCTCCCAGAGATCTCTGTTGCTGATTTTTCTGGCCGGCCATCTGATCTTGAGTGGTATTGAGCGACTATAACTGTTAATGAAGGTCTGTAGTTTGTTTGAGATGCTCTTTATGACGCACTGGCCAAGTCTCTGATCCGTTTATTAGCACTGACTGACTTCACATTGGAGTTGAAAATCCGGATCTTATTTTCATTTTCATTCTGAGTGCTGGTGACCTCCACACAGACTTGAGAGTAGTGAAAGCTTGTCTTGCTTTTCCGATTCTTGCTTCGATATCCTCGTCAGTTCCACCTGTAATTGAAACGATGCTTCCCAGGTAGGTAGTGGAGGTTGTTTCTTTCAGGTTCCTTCCATTTATGCTGATTGTTGTCAGTTGTTGTTGCTGTTGGTGGTGTTGCCCAGGAATCTTTATCACCTCTGTTTTCTCTATGTTCACCTGAAGTCCTATCTTCTCTGGATGCTTCTTCTGCCAACTTGTTGCTTTTCGCTTGCATATCTTCCAGTTTGTGGGAAATCAGACATATATCGCATCGGCGAAGTCAAGATCCCCCAAGTTAGTTTTTGTATGAGTCCATTTTATGCCTGTTTCCTCATTGCCCACTGTTTGTCGCATTATTCAATCTACTGAAATCAGGAAAATCATTGGCGATAGTAGGCAGCCAGCCAGTCTTGTCTTACTCCTGTCCTCACTTCGAAGGATTCCGTAAGTTTCCCGTTGTGGATTGCTTGGCATGCAGCATTGTCGTACAGCTGTTGGATGAGATGTATAATTGTCGGTAGCACCCCGTAGCAGTGAAATAGTTTCCAAAGCACCTCTCGATTGACGCTGTCGAAGGCCTTTTCAAAGTCGATGAAGTTGAGATAGAGAGGTGACTGCGATTCCAGGCTTTGTTCAATGATGATCCGTAATGTGGTGATCTGATCAATGCATGACTTGTTTCTCCTGAATCCAGCCTGTTCCGGTCCAAGTTTTCCTTCCAGGACATGTTTGATTCTCTCCAAGATGATGCGGCTTAGTATTTTGCTTGTGATGGACAGGAGCAAAATAGCTGGCCATAATTTTGGATTCCTATGCTCCATTATTGTTTTTCAGTTGTCTGCAATTTTCTTCCATCTTCTCTTAATCTGCGTTATTTGTAGAATTGTAGCATTAGATAAATTTAATTTTCCTTCCTTTTGAGTTGAATTTTGCTGCCATTATTCCATTCTGTAAGTGACATCATGATAGCTTCTCCTTCAGTGTGTTCGTAGTTGTCGTCTGGGGGACCTGAGTAGGTTAAAGAGTTTCCAGCTAACTCTATATCTGCACTCACAGATTCCTAGCACTTCCACATCATATCTTTTTGTGTGTTTTTGGCAATTAGGGACATTCAATGTTCCCACGCTTATTTTTGCTTTCATTGAAAGAAGACACGTAGGCTGACTTGCTTCTCGAAAGGTTTCATCAGCCTACAATTAATAGTCGAAACTGCAGTTATCTGGAAATATTTATTAATATGAGGAAATTTTTAAAATAATTTAGGTAACTCTAAACTGTAGCAAACCAAGCGAACGACTGTGATAATGACTTTGACAAATATTGCTGAGGCTGTGGGGATCCATATTAACAAGCCTAATTTATGCATCCAAACCTTGGCCATCCAGGTTTGAATAATCCGGAATTTTTGCGGAATTTCCCTAATTTTAGTCGATATTCTATTCGCTATTATATCTTCATTATAATAATAATTTAAGCATCTTTAATGAACTGTAATTACATCGATCATACTTTACAAATCGATACTATTTTAAAAAAAACACTAATATTGTTATTATCTACTAATTTAAAATATTCTGTGTATATAAACATATATATAACTTTCAAGTATGGGTTTTGTAGGGATTTTGTTTGATTGCATGGAGGATTTCATCATGAGCTGACATCAGTTAGAGAACCACTGGAGAACCTGGATCGGGTCCCAGTGGCTTAATGGTATACGAGCTCGCCTTGTAACCAGAAGGTCCTGGGTTCGAATCCCGGTGGGTGCGTACTGCTGAAGAGTACCGAACTAGGACGAAACAGCTGTCAAGTACTCCCATGTTCTCCAGTGGTTCTCTAACTGATGTCAGCTCATGATGAAATCCTCCATATATATAACTGTAGAGCCGGAAGAGGAATTTATCGAAAAAAATATTCTTTGGTCGATTATTTTGTGTTTTATAGGTGTCTGAATGAATATTTTTGCTAGATTGAAATCTTTGCCAAGTAATAAAAATGGGCCCATAGTAACAGAGTAATTTTTTTTAAAATTTCATATCAATCAAATGTAGTGTTACAAACTAGTCATTCAAGGTAACATTCTCGCTTGTGTCGCACGAATACCTCATAATTCGGTATTGGAGTCTTTAGTGATAGTGCAAACCGATTTTTAAAAATAAATCCATCCAAATAATTGTTTTTCATCATTTTTGTTAAGAACAGCGATGAAGCCATCTGATTGGTTGATTAAGGTCATTATGACGTGCGTTTACTTGGGTCGCTATTATTATTATTATTGTATCCTTTAATTCTTAGAGGAACATAGGGCTTCAGCCGTGCGTCTCCATTGAGTTCGGTTCTCTGCTAGAGTCATCACCTGGCTCCAAGTCTGCCAACACGTTTTCATCTCCTCTTCACGTGACCTCCTCCAAGTCACCCTTGCACTGACGACCAACTCGCCGCTTCCCTTTCGGGTTCTACTCGAGCAATGGCTTGTCTAGTGATGTCACTTGATGGTTCGTTTCCTCAGAGTATGGCCAATCCATCTCCATTTCTTTCTGCCTATTTGTTTCACAATCGGTTCCTTCTGGGTTGGTTCGCTCCCAGAGATCTCTGTTGCTGATTTTTCTGGCCGGCCATCTGATCTTGAGTGTATTGAGCGACTATAACTGTTAATGAAGGTCTGTAGTTTGTTTGAGATGCTCTTTATGACGCACTGGCCAAGTCTCTGATCCGTTTATTAGCACTGACTGACTTCACATTGGAGTTGAAAATCCGGATCTTATTTTCATTTTCATTCTGAGTGCTGGTGACCTCCACACAGACTTGAGAGTAGTGAAAGCTTGTCTTGCTTTTCCGATTCTTGCTTCGATATCCTCGTCAGTTCCACCTGTAATTGAAACGATGCTTCCCAGGTAGGTAGTGGAGGTTGTTTCTTTCAGGTTCCTTCCATTTATGCTGATTGTTGTCAGTTGTTGTTGCTGTTGGTGGTGTTGCCCAGGAATCTTTATCACCTCTGTTTTCTCTATGTTCACCTAAAGTCCTATCTTCTCTGGATGCTTCTTCTGCCAACTTGTTGCTTTTCGCTTGCATATCTTCCAGTTTGTGGGAAATCAGACATATATCGCATCGGCGAAGTCAAGATCCCCCAAGTGTTTTTGTATGAGTCCATTTTATGCCTGTTTCCTCATTGCCCACTGTTTGTCGCATTATTCAATCTACTGAAATCAGGAAAATCATTGGCGATAGTAGGCAGCCAGCCAGTCTTGTCTTCTCCTGTCCTCACTTCGAAGGATTCCGTAAGTTTCCCATTGTGGATTACTCGGCATGCAGCATTGTCGTACAGCTGTTGGATGAGATGTATAATTGTCGGTAGCACCCCGTAGTAGCGAAGTAGTTTCCAGATCACCTCTCGATTGACGCTGTCGAAGGCCTTTTCAAAGTCGATGAAGTTGAGATAGAGAGCTGACTGCCATTCCAAGCTTTGTTCAGTGATGATCCGTAATGTGGTGATCTGATCAATGCATGACTTGTTTCTCCTGAATCCTGCCTGTTCCGGTCGAAGTTTTCCATCCAGGGCATGTTTGATTCTCTCCAGGATGATGTGGCTTAATATTTTGCTTGGGATGGACAGGAGCATAATTCCGCGTCAGTTCTTGCATTTACTTAGGTCTCGCAATAGTTTAGAGTTAACCTAATTTATATATAACTGTACTTGGAGATGTGTTCACTGGAAGTAAATGCTTTGATCTGTAATTCAAATTCATAAACGTGCCTGTGGCTTCTCCAATTCACTGACGCCAAGAGTCATTAACTGTATCGTTATTACATCTTTCTGAATAAAACATGCTTGCATGCTCATATTCTATCTTTTATCCAAGAAACATAAAAAGTTAGAAAGTATGATAATTTAGTTACATTTATACAGCTGTTTCACAATTAGAAATAGCTTCTGAATACATAAAGCAAGCAATAAACTGAAATGAATTTGTACTGATAAGTGTATCTAGGTTTGCAGCAGAACGTTCCCTAGTTCAGTTTATAGTCTGAATAGCAAATGCGACAAAGTTGTTATAGAATCCATGAGGTATTTTTGAATTCTAAATCTGTTCAATATTTGAAACTAAATTTTTCCCACTTCGTTTTAATTTTTAGGACTGTACAACCTATTTGTTACAACAATGGGAAGAACCTGAAGAACCTGGGATGAATGAACGTCTATCATATCTTATACGTATACCTAAAGGGGATCATTTCTATAAGCTTTATCTATACGCTACACCAGTTGGTGAAAATGAATTGCCTCAATCATTGCCTTTAGTGTATACTTATTTAATTGAAGCACCACCACGTATTATGGCATCTGAAATGCCTTATATCGGTGTAAAATGGGGTGCATTTCCTGAAAAATTAGAACAGCAAGCAGCTGTTAAACAAGAATCTAAAAAGTAGACAGGATATGTCTTCAAAAGAACAAAAAAAAGCAGAAGAGAAAAGAAAGGATCATCTGTAAGTTTGGCGCCATTATGATCTGTAGAAATTTAAACAAGAATAAAGAGTTCCATTGAACAATATGTTTTATTTTTTAACTTAATAATGTATTAATATTTTATTGTTTTGATCTCTTACTTGTTTATCCTTTTTTTGAAAAATCAATTATGATTATAATTCATTTTGTCCTACTAAAAAAATGTTACCTTCTTTCGCAATTGAATATGTTATGGAGCATTTCTTCTGTGGTTTTGTGTCTGGGTGTCCGTGTGTGTTTCTGATTTGTATCACAATAATTTTCGTCTGAAATCATTTTTAAATTGTGCACTTTTGAATTTTGATAATGGTAACCTATGCGTTGTATTCCAGTCAGTGTGTATTCTGTGTTCAAAACTGCTTCGTGGTTTGTTTAAATGACTATTGAATGTGAGAACTTCCAAGTGAGAAGTTAAACTGAATTTCGAATTTCCGCAATTTTTTCCTTCTTTTGGTTGGCTGTTTGGTTGGTACATTTAGCAATTTGATTGGTTAAATACCTTCTAAAGTTGATTGGTTGAAATGAGGTCGTTCAAAGAAAGACCAATCAAATCAATGCGACTACTTAGTAATCATTTCAAAGCATGTGACTGACTGGCTTATCGTTTTTATCTATATACCATTTTTTTTATTATTTGATTTCCTTAACCACTTTGTGTTTACATATGTGATAAAGATACTTTATTGAGAAAAAAAATATTGATGGCCGTAATTTCTTTTTAATTCATTTTCTACTCTTTGATATTATTATTATTATGTTGTTATTGTCTGGATTAATTCATTCACCCTTTTACTTTATAATTCACCCATGGAAATACAATTTGTCAGGTAAATTAAACTCTGTTTTTTTGCTTCACGAGTAAAGAATGATCTGTTTTCGTGTTGTTTTACCTAACGCGTGCCATTAAATCACTTTAGAGGGGAGGCAGCTTTAACATCAACAATCAACTTCTTACACTGGTTTACACTCCTCTCTCAGTAGACGAACATATTGAATAATTTAATTAAACCTTAGTGTCCTATCAGCAAGCGAATATTTGACAACGAGTAACTTCTGTAAAATGAGTGTGTGTATAAAAATTTTTAGGGTGTCTTCGATTTGACAAACTTTTGTTGGAATGAAATCAGTGAGTATTTGTTATGTAGTCCCATATATGTCCAATTTTCTGAATATGTTGCAAATGTCATCTGTTATGGACGGGAGATGTTTAGAGTTTGTTTTCACAGTCACCATCGTGAGGTATCATGTGCGGCCGAATAATTTGTTAGAAAGATGATGGCCGAAAACTGTCCTATTCGTAGAGAGGTTTCAGTTTGTACAGAGTTGTCAGGATGTTGAATTTCGACTTCTGTGGGATGATGCTTAATCGACATTAAAGTCCAAAAGGGTGTTTTGTTTTAGTTAGTAAGAGGCGTCCCCATATGTCTGCATTTCTGTGAGTGTTTTCGACGTAAGGGATTTGTGTTGAAAATCACCTTACGAATGGATACGCTTGTATTCAAAAGGTAATATTATCCTGATGGAAGAACTTCAGCAATGCATTTTATAAGAGTTTAGTAACCGACTCTTATGAAATTAGCCAGGTTCATATATAAAGTGAGAAGACAGCAACTGATGTTGAACATGTATTCAGTCAACACTGTGGTGGACATGTATAGCGCAGAATCTTAGTGAAACACACATTAAAGTAGTTCTTATTTAATACAGTTCAGAAAAGAATAGAAGCCTCACAGAGAATAAAAGTGTTACAGTCTCCACTTGGCTACTGTTCTTCTTCTACTGCAGTGAAAGCCCTTAAATGACCTTGCGATTATCTGTAGTCATGTTTCCTTCAATTTGGCTCTAAATTTGTATATTGTGTCTACATAAAATCAATAAGTGACTGATGTTCATTTTCAGATTACAGAGTTCTGCACTCAAATATGGTATAATGTGACAAAATGGGATATTTTCAAGAGTTTCTGTATGTGAGTTTGGTTTGTTCTAAGTTCGAACACGGACTGATATCAGTTAGAGAACCACTAAAACTCAGGGGGTGCTGCACATCTGTTTCGTCCTAGTTTGGGACTCATAATCGGCACGTACCCACGGGGGTTCGAACCCTGGACCTCGTGGTTTCAAAGCAAGCTTCTAGACCATTCAGTCATTGGACCCGACTCAGTGACCAGCTCATGAATTCTAACTTCTACCAGTTCGTGATTTTAGCGTGGCCGTCAACAAATACCATCGGTGAGTATTTCTCCTCCTTACGACCTCTCACTAGAACTTCAGGCAACTTCGTCCAGTAGCCAGTCATCAGCTAGTATCAGACTAATTTTCAATATTTTGTCTGGCGGTAGAAGTTACAATTCATGGGTCATTAAGTCGGGTCCCAGTAACTGAATGGTCTACGAGCTTGCCTTGAAAATGGAATGCCCTGAGTTAGGAACTCTGTGGGTGCCAAAACGTCTCAAACTAGGACGAAACAGCTGTCCAGTACTTCGTGGTTTTGTAATGGTTCTCGAAATAATATCAATCCGTGATCAAACCTGAACTGAAGGGGTATGCTAAGTGGAATATTTCATGAACTTTTGAAGATTCAAAACTTGTAATTGAGTACATAACAGGAATAAATACCAATGGAATGGTTCTAATCATTGTTTTTTGTCAATACAAGAACACTGGTTCTTGATTGACACTGTAATAATTGTACTTTAGAAATAGTGATCCCTACTTCATCTAGCAGTTGTTTATACACCAGTAGGTTAACTTTCTGTTATTTTAGATGAAATGTTATTGGTCACCATTCAAAACTCTTATATCCTATGATTTAATTTAAATTGTGTTTCCTGAATGACAGTGAGTTAACCTTAAGTGTCAGTTGGTCATACCGCAAAAGGATTATGGGTTTTTGGGGTTAGAGACTTCTGTAACAACAAATGATCTCAATAAACCACTAACCTTGAGTCATGTTGTATTCGATACCCGATAGTGACAATACACTTATTGGATAAATAAGCTGTTCTTATGAAGGGAATTCATGTGTCCTGGTTAGTTTTCTGTGGCATATATGTACGTTTTCTGAACACTCATACTGTGGTGAGAGATGGTTGCTAGCCAAATTGGTTGACAGTAATTGAGGTCAATGTTAGTCATGTGAAAACAAGGTCAAGATGGACAGGCGGATACAGTTAACATATAGATGAACTGACACAGCCACAAGAGATGCAAGGTTAACTTTGTGTGAGAAACAACCAATCAACGGACTGTATTTTCTGCTAACATTAACCTACAATAATGTATACCAAAATCTATAAATATGTGTTGATTTTCCGTAATAAACGTTCTGTTGCCTGGCCCTTGTCTTCTGTTGTTACAATACTAGAGGGACAAATATATTGTCATAATGTGTTAAATAATGATAGTGATATGAGTCAGCTTTAGGATATTCTGTAGTCCAGAAGTATCAGCTTGAGGAAACAGTGCAGCTGCTGACGCGCAAAACTTCAGTTTTTTAGTTCACGAGCAATGATCTGATTATCTCTCGTAGCCGTATTTCTGGTATTTGTGTGCTCAGCAAATTATGCTAAGTTAATTTGTTGTAAAAAGCGGAGTTCAGTTGTAAAGAAACTAATTTAAATTTTGCAGGTTGACGTTAGTTTTAGCAGTGCCTGTTGTCAATGTCGGTGAACATTGAATGAGCAACAAACGTTTATCTATGCGAATGGATCCCCGATTTCGCGGGAAACAACTATGGAGGCCCTGTCCAGTGGTTCGCTATTTGGTACGGGACCGGGCAAAACGATTAGAAGTTATATTGTGGTTTATACCATTACTTATTCATAGACTTTGTGCTGTAGTAACCTTGTAGTTCTGGTTTATTTTCAGTGGAGAAATGAACAATCTAATAATTCCCATTGTAGCATCAAGAAGACAATATTCAGCGAAGAGACTCTTTTCAACGAATTTATTATCAAGCTGTGCAATCGTATATATACGGTTTTAAAAAAAATTATATCTGGTGAGGGAATTAGGTCGAAGGTGTGAATACATGAAATAATAATAGTATGAAATGTAATTAAAATACTTGTGATTATAATCATAGTTTAATGTCAAGTGGCAAAATAATTAATTATAATATAAGTGTATAGATTTGGAAAGGGTACATAATTATAAGATTAGTGACGAATATAAAATGTTACATAACAAGGTGTGAATTGATAAGATAAATTCAATATTTAAAATAAAATTATAAAAATTAATAATTTTGGTTAAAACGTCAAGTGGTCTAGTGGAAAAATTCAGAGTGAGAGTAGTAATAACAATAATGATAATAATAATAATCGTAGTAATAAGGGAAAAGCACATAGAATAACTAAATAAACAAAATAAAATAAATGAATGTCTATCCCTCTACGGCCAAGGCAGAAGTAGGGATTGTGCATACTTCTTTTGTACACAAACGTCTCGCTGCCTTTAAGTCATGAATGGCCTAGGCCTCCGCTGTCTTTTGAAGTCTGTAACGAAGAAAACGCGGCCAGAAAGTTAGCATGGATTCGGTAGATGACCTTAAAATCATGGTCAGCGTTGACAGAGTGACAGAAGTCGATCAGGTGTCAATAGAGCTTTGCACACACTACCTTTCTCCCTTGTAAACCATGCTGGAATACGCTCTCGTATCGTTGAAGCGTTTTGACTGGCGATGTACCTAGCTCCACAAGAGCAGTGAACTGATAGATGTACATGGAGGTGGCCAGACGGGGAGCTTATCTTTTACAGAGGCAGAGAACAACTTGTGGCTAGTGAACGTCATATGTAATTTTGCTGCATAGAACGTCTTACTGACTGATTTAGAGAGACGACTTTTGAGCATATCTGAAGCTTGATCACCTTTGAATTCCAAGTTCATGAATAAGGTTTTCTTTGGAACTGTGTCGGTGACCAGTTCAGACTGCTTATCTTTCATGTTGCTGTCAATAAAAGCTCTACGCAGATCAAGATGTCAACTTTACAAATGAACAATCTTCGAATTGCCGATCCTTCTTTCTATATTTTCGAGTCGGTTACTGTACACAGTATTCTGAGTTGCAATGATTAGTCTTCTGGCAGCAGCACCTGCTTCATGATCTGTGGGTAGAGAGTCTTTGAGGCTGGAACCTTTATATCTATTTATCCACCAACAATTTATATACTATACGCTAGGGATTCATAGAAGTATGTGAATCAACCTGCGTCACTTCAGCAAGGCCTCATTTGAACAAGGCAACATTCCAAATTTAAAAGTTGGTAAAAGCAGATGTTTTCTCCATAAGATGTATTTTGTTAACACTATATTTAGCTGTAGGCGTCATGTACATGTTTTCTGTGTGGTTAGCTGGCTCTTTCACACAAACTGTTAGCTGTCTCCAACGCCTGACCCATTTAAAATTGACGGTCACACTCCATCAGTTTTATCATTCGAATAAACTAAATTAAATTAGACAGAGTCAGTGAAATGTTCATTTAGATAAAGAATAGAGTGATACAAAAAACAGTAAATCATTATATCACTATTGGTGCAGGAACTGACCTCAAGCGCTCACTTTCTTATATGAACGCAGGAGTGCGAACGCTCCAGTGACCTTGAACGCATGCTAGTCGGTGGCTAATAGCACCTGCCATTAACGTAGCTGAAATATCAACGTTATTCACTAACTAAGGAGCAAATTTCACCCAGATCACGTTTTTAAGTACTGTTTGGACAATGTGTTACTATCTCGTTAGGGTTAGGATTTTTTTATTCCTTTACGTTCCCAGTGGAACATAAGGCTTCAAGCTAGAGACTTGAAGTTTCCGTAGCAGTGGCGTTT